CTATATAATGTACATATATGGGGAAAATGTTATCTATACTGCAGCCCCTGCATATTTAACCATATTATAATTGACACATTGATTTATAGTAATAATTTTCAAAGGTATCTTATACTGTATATTTAAAAAAAAAATGGTTTTTCTTTTCCGACTACGTTTGGCTCTTCTACCCGACCGATTAACATGATTGAGGTCCCAAATTGAAGGTATGCACGCACAGATTAGCCATCAAGCATCGGCATATATTTATCTATAATCCCACATGGCTTATGTGTAAACGAAATTTGCTCTCCATGTATTTCTTATGGGAGTTAAATTTGGTTTCTCTTTGCCAAATTCGTTTTGGCTCTCCTACCCAACCGATGTTCATGATTGAGGTCTCAAATTTAAAGTAAGCACGCACAGATTTGCCATCAAGCATCGGCATATATTTATCTATAATCCCACTCGGCTTATATGTAAACGAAATTTGCTCTCCATGTATTTTTTATGGGAGTTAAATTTGGCTTCTCTTTGTCGAGTTCGTTTTGGCTCTCCTACCCAACCGATTTTCATGATTGAGGTCTCAAACTGAAGGTATGCACACACAGGTTTCACACCAAGCATCGGCATATATTTACCTACTGAATTACTTGACTAAAAAACATAATTTGATTATTTTCAAATTCTTATATCAATTTAAGATGTATTTCGCCAGTTATAATTATATAGTCCTATATATTTTGGTCTAAGAACTTTCAGTGAAATATCGGCTTTTATTTAAGCAATTAAGATACTGTATTGTTCAATCAAATATCATAAATTTGATTATTCCTCGGATATTATATTTGTTTTAACGCTGCAGAGCAGCATGGGTCCTCTAGTTTAAATTGAAAATTGTTTTGTTATTTATTTATTGGTATGGTTACCGACTATAAACATCACTTAAACTTTTTTACCACTAAATGTGACCTAATGGTACCATATAAATATAAAATAATCAATATTCATCAAAAAGAGTTCGTTGGGTGTCTAATCCAAGGATTTATAATGATGTTTCCTACGTTTTACAATAGGTGAAAGAAAATGATGAATTTTGAGCGCGCTCTAGCGTCAGTTTGGAACATCGTAGAAATAAAGTTATTATACGTATATTGTAGAGAATTTAGTGTACTTTTATTTAGTAGATGACAGTTATCGCAAAAAATACTCCGTTTGTGAGTTATACGCAAAAAAGTAAAACAAGTACAGTATTTTATTTATTTTTTGTGATTTCTGAAGTTAGCTCACCTTTGGCGAGGTGGCAAAGTTTAAAATCGGATTCAGCGTCAAAAAATACATAAGAAACCACTGAGAAAAAAACTTCGGGAATTTTTTCCCGAGAAATTCCTTATATGATTGGACTACCAGTAGTTTATGCGTGATTGAGCAACACACACAAAAACGCACAAACTCAAAAACTTTCAGATTTATAATATTAGTAAGATACAATTTGTTTATGCAGGAATGGTTTGTAAAATCTTGTTAATATAAATCTATGAATACAATTAATTGCTTTCAACATTTACTCACCATTGATAGAAAAAAACCTGAATTTTACATCTTAGTTTTAGGCCTATAGGTAATTTCAACGGACAGAAACCATATATTCTTTATGATATATAGAACGCACCTATCCATTGAAGTATTTTATTTTTCCATTGATTAATAAATATAAAAGGTAATCAAAATTATACATAAAAATACGGCATTCAAGACTATTTTGATACATGCTTCTTTTAACTTCTCGAATATAACATAAATGGAACTGCCTATATCATATTATACAGTATACAAAATACAAGATTATTTACAACAAACACTTATTGGACGATAAGTAAACAAGGTAAATATAAACAATAAAAAGTTACAGTGAACAGAAATATGACACATAAAAAATATTACATTACAATAAAAAAATATTGCATTGAAATATAAACAAAGCTACTTTGGAATTGTGAAAAAGTTTAAAAAACAAATATAAAGAGGACATGTTTTTTTAACAATATCAATTAGACTCTAGTTATTTGAACTTAAATATTGATCCTACAAAACTGACCCGAGTGACCAGAAACACCAAAAACTGGAATGGGCTGTCGTGAAAGGGAAATCTAAGAAATTGCAAATGAAATCCATTCGGAGTAATGTAGGGGATTAACGGGACATCCATGTAAGATCTTCACTCATAATTCCTTTACATTTCCAAGTATTGACTGTTTATAGTTTGTACCAAACAATAGGTCGAATAGTTTGTACCAGATGCCTACGACTACAATTTTCAACAGGTAGTACGTTCACCATTCCCAGTAATAAAATCATTGTTTGTTCATCAATTAACAATGAGGCATATTGTGTTATTGTTCTAATACAAATGAGAAAAAATCACCAATTTTTACTGTCTAAATATTTTTTAAATCAACCCCTGCGTAATAGAGCAGGCAGGTTACTTGCCTCTAATGTATTTCAAGCTACAGTACGGAAAGAACGACAATAACTTAAGATTTATAAATCTCTTATTTGATTCTAGACTCAAAAGAATTATTATTATTTTCTTAATAAATTATTCTATTATATTTTTATAAATAATTTACTTCGTAACTGGTAACACTACTTGAATTAAGACCTTGTTTTAATTTCTATTATAGTTTATTTTTTTTAGATATCCGTCCAGAGTACATGCTGGTTACTGTTATTTTAATTTATCATTAACATAGAGTAATTATGTTTATGTTTATTCGTAATCCGGAGGCTATAACATCTACCTATAACGATGCTTAAACCATACTTGGGAAATAGCCAAGTAAACTCTGATTAAACGAATTTGTGCTTGTCTAATTAGTTAGGAATAATTATTTATAGGAACTTAAGGGTAAAGGTTTTCATTAGATAAAGTTTTACGCCGGCAATAATACAGAAACGAAACGAAACAAACCCATCGATTTACATTCAGATATTCCCAACAATATACTACTACGACAATATACTTCCAGAAAACCTAAGTAATTCTTATACAAAAAGTATTTTTAAATTTAGACAAAGCCTATGTGAGCAACACTACTTTTTGAAGTAAATTTACCCCAGGTACATTGTAATTTGGCAAATATCACGTTCAGCAATAGGCTCACCCACCTAAGCCGGAAATGCACAACATACTATGTTGTTCTTAAGAATTACTTTCAAAAATGGTATGCGTTGCTTCTAAATAGTACGAACGTCCGGTAGTATATTGAGTCATTTAATATCCTAACTCAACCACGAGAGAAAATTCCAGGCGTTTCCGCAGGGCAAAGGGTGAATCACGGGTAGAGAGAGGATCAAGACAAATTATGTACAATCATGCATGTTATAAGCAATAGTCGTCATGCCTTCAATTATACAAACTGTACCTGCAAAACAAAATGCTGTACATTATTTAATAATTCTGAAACGCAGAGAGGATGTTTACCTGTCTCACATAATATAATATGATTTTAATCATAATAAAATAATGAAAATTTAGTTCCGTACTATTAAGTGATAAATATTTAATTTGTATTAATCTACACTTAGAAAAAATATGCAGTTTGTCTGTATTTAAAATGGGCTGATTAACGTCGGACAAAAACAAATTGTTTTTAAGATAACTTTTTCGAATACTTAATACAGTATCTTGCATTATCTCTGTTAAAAGTTAAAATATTTATAGTTTCAAAACCACTCCTTTCATTTTTCACTTTTAAGTGGTGTATTCAGTGAGGAGTAATTTACTCGCAGGGTCGACCTAGCCATTGTCTCTTTTAATCCGTAGGGGATTAGTTCCTTGCACGGGTAGGACCGAGGAGCGCAAGGTACCTCTGCGCTCCTCGGTCCGACCCCTACGGTTTTTATTTATGTTCTCCCATTAGAGGAGGTATTGTGCGCTCCTTGGTCCGCGAATCGCATTTTACATCAGCACACAATACACACTGTTGGTAGCCCAACTGATCCAAATTATGTTAAATTGTAAAATTACCTCAAAAGCAACTTAGAGCTTTTGACTATTGTCACAAAACTAGACACTCTATCTCCATGTTAAAGTTTTCACCTGATTTTCAATCAAAATCATCAAAGTTTATGTGAGCCACAGATTGTGCAGATGTAGATTACTGATATCTGTTGAATAAGGTCTTTTACAAAGTGGAATTAAATATTTTAGTCATATTTTTATCATAACTTCCAAAGCAATAAATAAGTTAAAAGTTTAATAATTCTCTTATAACAAAGCAAACTTTTGATGATGAATCTTGTATTATTAAGAACCCTATAATACATGTTTCATACCTCATGCCTTACACATATCTTGCAGTATACCTTACTACAGATATCGAGACAATTTGTTATACTTTTCCATCTACACTCTGTGATGATGCATGTAAAAATGACCTTGGGCGGTTAGTATGCAAGTATTAATACAAAAGTTTGTCTTGTTCAGGGGAGAAATATTGATAGTTATGATGAGAACAAAAACAAATAGGTTGTGTATTAAATATACAAAGTAAATATTTGACTTCTTGTATATTTATTTATGGTAAAATAATTTTAATTGATGGTTTCGATAAGGTATATGTGGTAAAAGAATTTTGGTATATTTACAATGAAATAATTGCAATATACTCATACTGAAATATTCACATCCCTGAATGAAAATCAACTGCCAATTTGAATAAATTGAAAGATTGTGGCATATTAATATTTTAGTCTCACTATGATTTTATTTAACCTACTCCACCGACGAAATCACAGATGAATACCAAAATAAACTATGATTTTACCAACTCCCATAGTTCTAAACGAGTTATGACTTCCCGCCAGATGATTTATTCAACAGCTGATAAGACAAGCCTATAACACATTCTGTGTGCGAGCGACGGAACTACCTCAACTCGCACGTCTTTGACAACCACGTGACTTGATTGTTGGCTTTGGTGGTCTTTGACTGGAACGAGAGCGCCACAGTACGACTTTGACCGCTCAAGCGAAAGTGTCTCGTGTTAATTGGGTTCTGTGATTGGTGATTGCTCTGGGAAAATTATGTGATTCTGGATTGGTCGCTTTCAAAATAATCAAAGGTATTTTATTGTTATATGTTTATAGTTACGTTTATAGTTATATTGCGTATTGGAGTTTAACATTTTTACACCTAGATATTAATTAGTTAATTTCCTACTCCAGTAATATAATAATTTTACCGTGATTTAAAGTAAATTAATCATTAACTATTTTTTATTCTTTCAATTTTATTAATCTGTCGGTAGAGATTTATTCTGTAAGGGTTTCGTCCAAGACTTATGTACACCTAACTGATAACGAAGGTTTGTTAATATTTATTATAGAATGTATAATTTAAACCCCCGTTTGTAAAATAAATGACGAATTGTATATATTCTTGTAATTTATTATTATTCTAGCTAAGCTCAATTTAATTACTCTCTAGTAGGGTTTACGTAGACAAATTAAATTATATATTAGCGCAAATAAATAAAAAAAAAACTATCTAAATAACTAGTTTATTTTTGAAATTTCTCTTACAGGAAAGAAGCTATTATCTTAGGTTTTATGTGCTATTACCGTATGTCACATGGTAATACCCACATCCAGGATCGATAGGGAATAAGTCTTATTTGCTTTAAGAACTTAAGGTGGAATTAAATGCAAATTTCCATAGGTTGCAGTTTTGCTGATGTTTGGGACATTTCTTGATCTTAACAGTTACTCCGTTGGCATTTAGCCAACATTTAATCAACGAGTAGAAATACTTTCATTTATATAAATCATTTCAAACTATCTATATATTAGTAGGCAAGCATGTTTCTTTAAACCCTTTTTTAGCTCGTGTACATCACAGGGAAAATCTACGCATATTAGTAGAAAGATATTTTCCTGTAGGTGTGCAGAATCCCTTTATAAATTAAAATAGGCTCAAAATTGAATTTAAATTAATAAAAACTAACATGGGCCTTATGGGCTGCCATGATGTTGAAAAAAAAACAAAAAATCAAAACAAATGGAAGAAATTCCAATCACATGTTTTATTTACATTGTGGGGAAATAGAGAAGTCTGTACATTACATAATTTTGGTCAAGTTTTCGACCACTGCACTACCTCTAGTTTCAATTAATTAATATGTTGTCAGTAATAGGAACACAATTAAATGTGCTATCAGCAATTTATTTTTAAAATAAAAAATAACACAAACGGTTTTACGATCTACATAATCTTTATTGGTTGTGCTGTGCATTAGACAAATGCGCAAGTGTTGAATGTTAGAAAGTAATTCCATTGACCTCTACTAGAAAAATATTAATATGAAATTTTAAAGGCCAAAGAATAGTAGGTACCTTGTTTATAAGCAGTATATGTAGGTCTTTAGGCCTAAACTGAGATAGTGGTTATCTTCACGCATTTTAAACACTTTACTATCTCAAGGTCCATTTTTATGATTCTTATGACTGCGTACTGCACAGCCTCGCTATTGCATTTATAACTGCAATTTTAGTGTGCAAACAGAACTACGAAAAAGGCCTTAGATCTCCTCTTCATGTGTCAAATTAATTTGCAAAAACTCAGTTTGTCATTCACACAATAAACTAATCGCAAACAACTTATTTTGACGTGTTACATAAACCATCTAATCAAAGTTTTCAGCGGCTTAATATGTGCTGATTTGGATTTTTTGGACATAATAGATTGATATAATTTATTAGACCTAATAGATATTGATTTTCTGTTATCTGCGTGTCTCAAATTTAAATTTCAATCCAAATATAAGCCCATCAAGTATTTAAAACAAAACATGTTGATGAACTGGGGTTAGAAGCACTCGTTTTTTTTAATTGTTTAAACAAACAGTCGTGTTGTTAAACGTCTTAGTCCTACATAAAAAGTGTATAGTCCAGAATAAAGTTTAAAATCAAGCAAATTATTTCTAGGAATGATTATATGGATGTTGAAAGGGAGGCAAAAGTTTTATGTGTTTTATTCTGATCATAAATCAATTTATTCGTGCTCCGTCAAGGTGAATTGACTCTAATAAAGATTGTTGTGTTTTGGAAAAATAGTAAAAGCATCATAATTGGTTATTGCAAATTCCATAACAACTAATGACTTTTCACCATAATCATTCCGTTGTACAGTGTACATTGTTTTGAACCAACTGTGTATTATTTCAGAATCAGTACATTGATATTCTATTAGAATAACGAAGGTGACGTATATTTTAGAACCCACAGCAAACCTTTAAAATTATTGTAAAATATAATAGGGATAATGTAATTGTAAAATCAAAGAACAAAAACGTGTTTTCTTTATTTTTCTCAGGTACAATATCAATATATAAAACAATTTCTATAAGCTTAAGAGGTTCTACAGTTTTGTGATTGACGGTTTGATAATGCATTGAGTACTCGCGGAAACACATTATTATATAAACACAAATTATCTTGAGAGTGACCTAGTTATTTTTTATATTAGCATTGAATATACAACGATATAGTGTTACATTTTCAATTCTACTGGCCCTTTACTAAGGTCTCGTTTACAAAAGCTCACAACACTCCAAAGAACGCTAATTTTGTTTTACATTTTCAACGTTCTTAAGTGTTTACAAGATAGTTTTCCCCCACAAGAAGCTGTAAACAAATGTCTACATGTTTTAAACCACGTTTATACCGGAGTTAGTTTAATACGTCGTTATCAACGAAAGTGCAATATGTTTCAAACTCTGGCGTAAACGTGGCATAAGTTACAAGATACAAAATAATTGTTTTGTATGTTTGATCAATAAATTGACATTTTTCCGTTGATTGCACGTTTTGGATCTCAATGTATTTCGAGCAGGTATACTCTACTAGTTACTCCATGCCGGACAGGTCTACCTCAAAGATCAGTGAGGCAATTCAAGGTTTGGCTCATCGAGTTTCGACCGCCAGTTGTTTTTGTCTCGTTCTGTAAAACGATGCAAATGAGACCACAAAACTAAAGTTAAGCGGTTGAATCATTCATAAGTTAATCAGTCAAACCTCAGGCTTTTGACCACATGTTTTTTGAGAATTTCGAATTTTCAACTGATAAGTTATTTGCTAAACTGAAACACTCGTCGCATACACTACTGTGAAGTTGGCATTTCATTATCGTGCGCAAGCTGTAACCGGTTTCAGAATAAAAAAGTAACCTCTAGTTCAATTGAGATAAAGGCAGAGTAAGCTTAAATAAAATACCGTTTGTTCTCACACACAGGGTTCAAGCGAAACTGAAACATGGGTCACCAGCATGTCAACCCATTAGGCCTATGTTAATTTTTTTATATTTAAATTCATTTTTGTGCTTATTTTTGAGCCCATTTTAATTTTTAAAGGGATTCTGCACATCTACAGGAAAATATCTTTCTACTAATATAAGGGTGATTTATTGTATTGGTATGACAATAGTGTATAATATAGCTTTAAAAACTAGAAGGGTAAGTGAACTTTAGTTGCAAAATCCGAGACAGGCTCCAACTTCGCTTCTGAATAAAAATCTAACTGGCTGCACTCACTGGGATTACACGTGTAGAAGCTCGGTGCACTTGCATGTGACCAGAAACAGTAACCTGCTAGATGTACCTTTTGTGAGACTATCCAAATCAAAAAAGTGGTTTAGTAATGTAGGAATATCAATGTTAAATAAACTTCCTTGCACAGCACGTAATGTTAGCATGAGTAGGTTTAAGCATGTTTTGCATGAGTGGCTTGCTCAAAGGCTCTTTTATAGCCTAGAGAGTTATTTTCAGGAAGATTTTAGTAGCATGTTATTTTGGCATGCCAACAATTACTCAATGCCCAATTTTTATTTTTTGATCTATTATGACTGCCCAGACAAATGCTTTGTCTATTTATGTTTTACCGGTATCTAGTTTTATTTTCTTGGTTGAACTTGAACCTCATTTGTTGTTGACTTTGTCATATGCATGTACCTTGCAAATTACGGCAATAAAAAGTTTCTGATTTCTGAACATTTGTGCCATGTGCATAAGGCTGTCATAAAGTTAATTTTATGACCAGTTTACATTTAGATTGCTCGGTTGAAATGCATTCATATATATTGTACAGTACAAGCGATAACTTTCGTAGGGGTTAAAAGCTTCAAATTAGGTAATAAAATCTTTCATCGGTAAATACTTAAGTGACTTATTTACAGCAGCCGAATCAATCGGAAGATAGGAAGAACAACATTTTCCAGCTTTTTACTGATTAAAAACTAGGCTTGATTAAGGCACGGGTAGTAAACCCGTGATATAATGAGCTCAAAAGATCACGCAAAAAAGTGTGTATACATTCCCTACTTTATGTATCTACAGGTCCAGTACTTGTGTACCTCATAGTAAAAAAATTTCTATTACAAAAGAAAATAACTAATTCCCTAATTTTACTATAGTTTGAAAAACAAGCTGTGAACAAGATACCTTTTGAGTAATCTTTCACAGTAACTTGACAACCAAAGGTTTTTTTACAAAGACTATAAATTTATATAAGATAACCGACTAGTTTTAAATGTTACATTGTTTGTATAAGTATCCTGCAATAATTCCAGCACTAGCACTGTAGACTGTTTTGATTAACAAGTCCAAAATATAATCAATGGCACATTCTCATAGTAATAACAACAACACTGATAAAAATATTTCCTTGTTTTTGTTGTCACTAGGAAAGCATTGAATATCTTATGTGCTTCACGCTATTTTGTTTACCATTTGAAGTTCAACTCAAAATCCATTAGCTGTTTCCACTCCTAATATTTTTAATTAGTTTTAAATAATCTCACACAATGTTTTAGAGACTGGACCAATGATCAAGTAAGACATTTTTTTTTTATTTCTGGCATTATTGTTGTCACTGTTATCCATGGCAATGGCTATTAGTATTAGTATCTGATTTGCAGGACTTTGACCCTACAAAAACTGACAGACGTTGCTGTATCTAAACCTAAAATAGAGTCATCTACTTACAGTTAAAATGACAGACGTTGCTGTATCTAAACCTAAAATAGAGTCATCTACTTACAGTTTTAAAAAATCCGTTTACTGTATGAGCC